AAAAGAAAAGAAAGAAAAAAAAACAGTGAAGGGGTACAAGTTATACAGATTTACAGAATAAAAAAATGCGCAGTAGGAAATCACTAGTTAATGGATTATATATTGCCATCTTAGAAATAATTGTTCAAGTCACAAAATTAAAGCTTGTAGAGTGGACATTCCAACAATGATACTGCAAACAGTTCTGTTCAATGATCCAATATAACTCTGTGATATCATTTTCTATCTTATACATTTAAATATACATGCAGTTATATAGTTTAGAGCACTTTCTTTTCCTCTCTTTTGTACAGTGACTATTACACATTTTGGGTTTCATTGCTCCCACGGTTCTTATTGCTTTTTTGGAAGAGAGTAAAACCAAATGTGACATAACAGAACAGAATCGGTCAAGTCAAAAGGGTGGACATAATAGATAATATAAAAACATAATACAAGGTGATCAACAATGGTTACCATAATGCCTCCCGCTATTTCTAATAGAATTGCCTATATCATTAGTTGTAATACAATTGAACAAAACCGTAAAGAATAAAACCGACAAAACCAAAACATTGGAGATATTGTAGGTCTTCAAAAGTAGATAAAAGTCAACGAGAATGGGCGTTATAATGAATCTCATTATCTTCTCAGCTGATGCCTAAACTTTCGAACCTGATACTATCAAGCAAAACAGAATAGAGGAACCTCAGTCAAAAACAAGATGGTGAGAGTAATACAGGGCTTCAAATCGAGATAATAGAGAGTCAAAGTGGGTTACTATATTATATCCTGCTATATTTTTCCCTTTAATTAAATGGATAAAAATAAAAAAGTAAATAATGGAGTCGAGATTGAGAAAAAAGAGGGCATAACAGCAAAACAGGGCAGATCAAAACATAACCATTTAAGCAGAATAGTGTTTCACCACCAGATAATCCTGTCCCAAAAATAGTTACCATATTGACTCCCTCCCTGAAGTCCTTGAGTACAACTTCATATACTGTAGCGTTAAGTATATCAAAACAATGTAAAACCATTTAAGAGAATGACAGCATTATAGAGTATTTAGAATCGACTAACAGAAAATGAACAATGGTCTCTGTATAATCTCCTTGTCTTTAAAAGGTTTTTGCTTATACTATCGTACATAACAAAATCCAATAAGATACAACCTGTTTAGACCATTGGAGACAGAAGAACAAAAGCTAGATGAGACTTCAAAACAAGATGGTACTAAATCAGCATTACCTATTAAGATGTCATTTTCTCCAAAAAAAGCTGTTCCTATCATCCAATCTTCTCTGTCTCATTTCTGTTGAGCTCTTTTTCTGTCAGTAGCTGTCAGTTTGTCTTCTTCATTTTGTTCTCTGCTCCATTCGTTGTGGCCTCCCCGCCACTATTTCTGGGTTCTTTGTATTTTTCTTTTTTTAGAATATCCTGCAATACTTTCTGTAGGGTTGAATTGGTGGTTGCAAATTCCTCCAGTTCCTCTTTATCCTGGAAGCACCTCGTTTTTCCATCAATTTCCAGGGACAGTTGTGCAGGATATCTCAATCTTGGCTGGAGATTATTATCTTTCAAAGCTTGAATTATTTCTCCCCATGCTCTTCGTGATTTGATGGTTTGTGAAGAGAAATCTGCTGTAATTCTGATGGGTGTTCCCTTGTAAGTGATCTGTTTCTTGTCTCTTACAGCTTTTAATATTCTGTTCTTGTATTGAATTTCTGGAATTTTTATTATTATATGCCTGGGTGTTTCTCTGTTAGGGTTGTAGGTAGCTGGGGTCCTGTATGCCTCATACATCTGAGTATCTTTACCTTTTGCTAAATTAGGAAAATTCTCCTGGATTATTTCTGTGAGTAGCTTTTGTAGTTCACTTGTTTGTGTCCCTACTTCTTCTTTTATGTTCTTAATCCTTAAGTTATGGCTCCTCTTATCATCTTCTTGTCTTTGTATTATTGCTGTTTGTTTCTTTGTTATTTTTAAGAAGTTTTTCATTTCATTCTCCCATGTTTCAAGTCTGCCCTCCAGTTCAGATAGTCTGTCCTTAGTTTCTTTCAAGCTGTTATGCCAGTCTTGGATAGACTTCTTGATTTCTTGATAGTCCCTTTGAACCTGCTTCACATACTCAATGCTTTCTCTGTTTTCTCCATCAAGCAATTCTCCCCTCTTTTTCTGTTCTTCCATTCCACCATCTGCTTTTTCCTGGGTGGTGCTTAGCATTTCTCTAACTATTCTGCATACTTCTAGCTTCAGGTCATTGATAACTTCATTCCTGAATTGGTCTATGAGGCTCTCTATATGGCGCTTAATGTATATTGGTGCGGTGTCCACTATTGCCTGATTCTCAGGATTGGGGGCCGAGGAGCCTTTTTTGTTGCTTCCCTTCCCCATATTTTCTGTTCCTTATAAAATGCAAGCTTACATGGGAGGCCCGGCTTCCCTGCCTGTCAGCCACAGCCTGATCAAATTGCGCTGGCTGATTGTTCCCGCCCACCGCTGCGCACCAGGGAGTTGCAGAGGAGGCAGCCTACGCGGGGGTCAGTCGCTCCTCCGGGCCACCGTCAGGCTCTGGGATCTGGGTTAGGCCAGCCTAGGGAGTCCGCCAGCAGCGTCACCCAGGCCAGGCACTTTTCACCAATCCCGTCCGAGAGGGGAATGTGTGGCTGGAGTTGCCACCGCGCCCTGCTCTTACAGGACTGCCTGAGCCCAGAAAAACCTCTGCTGGAGTCAAACTGTGGTAGGGGGGCAGTTTCTCGCTCACCTCGCCACCAGTCAGATTTCGTGTACGCCTCCTTGTCCGTCCTGTTTCCGACTCCGTTCGCAGACTCCCGTTCCCAGAGCTTGGTGCGTCTCTCCTTGCCGAGCCGCTGTGGAGGCAGCCAGCCGCCGGGCGGCGGGAAACCCAAATCGCGGTTTCCAATGGCGCGGGGTCGAGCCTCTACACCGAGTCTTTTCTGTTCCTATTTTAGCGCCAGGACTGTATCCTAAGTTGGATTCTCTCAGCCCAGTTCGTTCCTGAGTCAGCAGAGCATATCTCTACTGGTTCGTATCTCCTTAGTCCGCTTCATTTCTGGCCTCTGAGCCGAGCCTTTCAGAGAGCCTTCAGTAGTTGCTGTTGTCTGTCCGCCATGTTCTCCCGGAACGGCAACCTTCTCTTAATCTGGGGGCTTCACTGCCCAAGGAGGGAGCTACACTACCAGAGAAGTGCCAGGAGTCCAGGACATAAGAGACAATTTCCAACATGCCCAGGGGAAGCTTGGAACAACACTTGAAGCTAAGTGAAATAAATCAGACTCCTGTGCAAGCATCATATTGTCTCCCTGGTTTGAGAAGCGCGCCGGCTCCAGGGAAAGTTTGGTGCGGGTGCTCTGTGCTCGGTGCTTAGTGCTAGGAGCGCTGTGTCAAGATGTATTTTAATAATGATTAGCAACTTTAAAACTCTGTGGGTGTGTGCCATTGGACATTTGTATATTTTTTTGGAGAAATGTTTGTTCTTGACCTTAGCCTATTTTTAACTAGAATTGTTTTTTGTTGTTGAGTTTTAGGAATCCTCCTTATATTCTAAATATCAATACCTTATCAGGCACATGATTTATACATTTATTTTTCCATTCTATGGGCTGCTTTATTATTTCATTGGTTATGTGTTTTCATATATGAAAATTTTAAGAAAAGTCCAATTTGCCTATATTATCTTTTGTTGTATGTGCCTTTGATATCATATGAAAGAAACCATTGCCAAATTCAATGCAAATTTTAACCTTTATATGCTTGTGTTAGTTAGGATTTTGTCATTTCTGAGACAAAATACCGAAGGGGAAAGGTTTGTTCATTTCACAGTTTCCAGAAGTTTCAGTTCATAATTGACTGGCTCCCGGGCAGGGCTGCTCATGGTAGAAGGGCAACAGTTTTGCAGCAAAAGCAAAAGCTACGCGAGGTTAGAGAGACAAACCTCTCTTTGTCCCTTTCATTACATCCAGCCACTGGGGTTAGGGTGGTGTCAGTCCAAAGAGTGGATGGATCCAGCAACCATCCACGCTTAATTCCAGCACCCTTGATCTCACAATTGTGCTAGGGATGAATCACACTCTAGATTCAGCCTGTGAAAAAGTCCTGTGAGTACTTGAGGCTTTAGGGGAACATCAGACACAAACCATAGCAGTGTTCCTAAGAATTTTATAGTTGTGAGTCGGACCCTTAGGTTTTGGTCCATTTTGTGATTTTCTGTTTATAGTGTTACATAAAGTCTCACAACTTCTGCTTCTGCTTCTTCCTTTTTCTTCCTCCTCTTTCTCCATTTCTTCCTCCTCCTCCTCCTCCTCCTCCTTCTTATGTGGATATATAGTTTTCCAAGAAACATTTGTTGATAGTCAATAGCCAGCCTTGCCCCTCATTGACATCCTTGTCAAAAATTATTTGAACATGTATGTTAGGGTTTAATTCTGGACTTTCTATGCCACTGTCTACATATTTTGTGCCAATAAAATATTCTTTTGCTATAACCTTGTAGTAAGTTTTCAAATCATGAAGGGCAAATCTTTCAAATGTATCTTTTTTTAGTGTACTATTTTTTGTATTTTTTGAGATTTTATATGAAAGTAGAATGGACTTTTATTTCTGCAAAAAGAATCAATGGAATTTTGGTGGGGATTGTTTTAAATCAATGGATCATTTTATGTTCTGTATTCATCTTAATGTGTTAAATTATCTAATCCATGAATATGGGCTTTGGCTGATTCATTTATCACTTCCTTAATTTTATCCAGCAATTCTTATTTTAGTATTTTGTCTAGTTACCAAGTCATGCTGATAACTGTTGATATTTCTGGGGATTTTTACTTTAAGAGAGAAAAAAATTTAAAAATAAAAATAAAACAGTTTCAAAACAGATTAGTAAGAGAGTTACTATACTTAATACATTGCATGTTCTCTTAATATTAGTTACTCATAGTATAAGATACAGGCATGGTATCTTGTCTAAACAATATTAACACAAAACTTCCTTTTCGATTAAGAGAAACCAGGTGAAGAAGCAAGCCCTCCTGTGAACCAGTGCCACGCATGCGCCACCGTTGAAGTGGGGACCGCCAAACCCAAGCCTTTCGTCATGAGTCAGTGCCATTTGCACACTGAGGGGGTGGAGAGAACACGGCCTCACCAAGAAGTAAGCCCTCTCTGTGAACCAGCACCATGTACAGGCTGTTACCACAGTGGGGACAACCAGACTCAAGCCTTTCTCCATGAGTCAGCGCATTTGTGGAATGTGGTTGGAGGGAGGGACAGAACAAGGCCTTACCAAGAAGCAAGCTCTCCCTGCAAACCAGCACCATGTGAGGGCTTCCACCAGAGTGGAAACGGCCAGGCCGCAGGCCCCTCCGGTGCACCTGCAATAAAGAAGAGCCAATCACCTTCCCACTCCTGTAAGCAACCAGCTGACCTAGAGAAACAAAGGCTGTGATGCTATTGCGGTGAAATGCACTTTGATGCTTGTGGTTTGTCAGTGTTTCACTGCCCTGGCAGGTGTAGGGCCAGTGATCTGATCATCTATTCACAGGATGGCTGTAAGCAGTGTGGCATCTGCTGTGGGAGGGTCTCCTTCTGAGGGTGGCAGCCATTGTCAGTTCCCTATTGTCTTGTTTTGAAGTCCTGTATCATTTTCATTGTTTTGTTTGGTTGGGTTTTGTTCTGTTCGAACCCCCCCCCCCATACCAGCAATCAAATTCAACCTTGTGCTTGCCAGGCAGGCACTTATGCCATTGAGCTAAATCCCCAGCCCTGTTTTGTTTGATTTTATTATGCCCAAGGGAAAGAGCAGCTGTTTCAAAGATAGCAAGATATATTGTGGTAACCATATGGGATTTATTATTATCTTGCTTTTAAGTCCTTTATTGAATTCATTGTTTTGCTTTTGTTGGTTCCATTCTGTTGTGTTTTGTTTGATTTTCACTAAGTCTTTGGGTATCTGAAGCTATTTTGAGGACAGCTAGAGGCATACTGTTAACTATTGCTGAATTCGTATTCTTTTTAAGTAAGTACAACTTACAAAGGCTTGTTTTGATTGATTTTATTCATTTATTCAAATGGTAATCACTTATTTTACTTAGTTTTATCCTCTTTAAAATAAAGAATAAGTAAAAAATGAAAAAAGAAATGCTGTATAACTATCTTAACTATCTTGTGTACAGATTTCTTTCCTTTTAACACAACCATTTATATCTACAAAACTTCCCTTTACCACTAGTTTCTCTCTGTCCAAATATTTTGATATATAGTGATTTCATTTTCATTCATCTTTAGTATTTTTTAAATTTAGTGGTTTTTTTCTTGTTCCACTGGTTGTTTAAGTGTGTTGTTTAATTTCCAAAAATTCCTGAATTTTTCAGTTTTACTTTTATTGATTTCTAAACTCATTGTATTGTTATCAAGGAAGACAATTTGCATGCTTTCTTTATAAATGTACTAAGATACAATCTATCCTTGGAAATGGCCAATGTGTACTTGAGGAGAATGTGTATAGTGTTATCATTGAGTACAATGTCTGAAAGACTTAGTTTTTCAGGTCATGTAAATCTCCATTTCCTTAACTATCTTCTGACCAGTTGTTCTAGCCACTACTGAGAATAAGGTTTCGAAGTTTCCACCACCATTATGTGCCTCAATTCTGTCAGTTTTGTTTTATATATTTGGATAATCTGTCAGTAGTAAGAGATTATATATCATTATATATTCTTACTGTGTTGAATCTTCTTAAGATATGTAAAGAACTTTGTTCCTTGAAAAATTTTTAAATTTTTAAGTCTATTTTGTTGGATATTTATAACCACTACTGCTCTCTATTAGTTACTATTTTCGTGAAATATATTTTCCTTCCTTATACTTTCAATTTATTTGTTTTTGTGCTATAACTGAGTTTCTTATAGGCAGCACATAGTCAGGTGTGGTTTTTTTAAATCAGTTCCTCCAGTCTTTGTCTTTGATTGGTGTTTAATCTCGTTAATGTAAAGTGCTGATAAGGAGAAATTTGCTTCTGTCATTTTAAAAATTCTCTATACAACCTACAGGATTTTTACCCCTGTCTTGTTTTTAGTTGAATTTTGTGGTAAAATATTTGAATTCCTTTCTCACTTACCTTTTTGCATATTGCACAGACATTTTACTTGTGGTTACTAAAGGAATTACAATTAACATTTTAAAGTTATAACACTGTTCTGATTTTATACCAACTTAACATCAGTAATATATTTTTTTAAAAAACTGCTTCTTCTTTGCTTTTTCCTCCCCCTGCTCAGCTGCTGACATTACAATATCTCATCAGTATATGTTGTGTGCCCCAAAATATCAGTAGTTTATTAAATATATTAGACTTTTGAACTACATTGGAAAATGTGAAGTAATCAGTGTTACAATGATCCTGCTTTTAGGATAATGGTTTGAAATATATATTATTCTCTTTTTAAATGCTTTATTTCACGCATTAATAAGGCTTAGTATGGTATTTCAACACATACATAATGCACTGAGAAGGCCTGCCCTTCCTCCATTTACCTTACATACTTCCCAACCCATAATAATCACTGTGTATTCAAATACACAGGTTTTTTTCTCATACATGAAGGACTACATGTAGTATTTGTTTTACTGTGTCTGGCTAATTTCCCTAAGCATAGTATGATTTAGTTCTATTTCATCTTTATGGATTAATAATATTCTGCTGTAGACAAATAACACATTTTCATTGTCTGTCCTTTTTTCTATAGGCCGCTAGACTGATTCTATTTATTATCTATTGTTAATAGTGTCATGATAAACACGGTGTGCAGGTATAACTTCTGTATGCTGATTTTATTTCCTTTGAATTTATACTAAGTAATGGGAAAGCTAGATTATGTGGTAAGTTTACTTTTAGTCTTTTTTGATGAACATTCAGACTATTAACCATAACAGCTGTGTGAATTTATTTTCAAAGTAGCAATATGTAAGAGTTCTGTTTTCTCCACAACTTTATCATCATTGACTTCTTTAAAAATAACAAAGCCATATTGTGAAATCATATTTCATTGTCATTTTTATTTCAATTTTCCTTATGGTTAATATTATCAAACATTTGTGTATGTTTATTGGCCATTTGTATATCTTCTTTTGAGAAATATCTACTTAGGTAATTTGATTATTTTTAATTGGGTTTACTTTGATTTTTGTTAAGCTTTTTTTAATTCCTTATATATTCTGGTCATTAACTCTCTGTCAGAAGAAGTCAGAAAATACTTTTTATTCTTCTGTTTGTCTTTTTGCCCCTGTTTTACATACTGTACAGAAGCCTTTTAGTGTGATGCAATCCCATCTGTCAAGTTCTGCTTTCATTTCCTATGCATTTGGGGTTCTTTCTAGAAAATTATTACCTGTATGTCTTGGTTACTTTCCTCTCATTGCTGGAACAAAATACCAGACACCCAAAAAGAAGGAAGAAGAGGTTTGTTTGTCTCACTATGGTGGTTTCAGTCCACCGGTCAGCTCCAAGGTAAGATAGCATGGCACAGGGGCACACTGCAAGGGAGCTGCCAGCAAAACAGCCAGAGAAAAAAAGGGAGAGAATGCCTCTTTTCCTCCCATATATTGTATGCAGGCCACCCCTGCCCCCAGCGCAGATGCAGCACTCACAAAATCTCTGTGCCCTCCTCTTTCACTAAAAGAGGATATTTATAAAATAAAGATCCTGGCTCCCTGCTAAGTCTCTTAAACTTCTAAACTTCTCAAGTTGACACGATGTATCAACCAGAACGCTATAGCAATGCATTGATGTGTTTCGCCGAGGTTTTTATTAGTAGCTTCATATTTTCAGATTTTACTTTAATTCCTTATTCCATTTTAAATTTATTTTTGTGCATTGTGAGAGACAAGAGTCAAATTTTACATATGGACATGCAATTTTCCCAGCACCATTTACTGAAGGAACTGTCTCCCTCCAATATTTGGAATCTTTGTTGAAAATCAGTTGGTTGCAGATCTGTGGGTTTATTCCTGTGTTCTCTGTTATGTTCCATTGGCTTCTCTGTCTGTTTTTATGCCAATACCTTGCTACTCTGTTTACTGCAGCTTTGTAGTATATCTTGAAAGTAGATATTGTTATTCTTTGTGCTCACACACACTCTTGATATTTATTGGCTATTGGGAAACTGAAACACTTCCATATGAATTTCAGAATTTTTTTCTCTAATTCTATGAAGAATACCAATGTATTTTTGAAGGATATTGCGTTGAACTGTAGAGACTTAGAGTATTATGCACCTTTAAACAGTTTTAATTCTTTCAGTCTATGAATATGAAGTTCTTTCCATTGTTTCTGTGTTTTCTTCATTTTATTTCTTCAATGTTTTTTAGTTTCCATTACAGAGGATTTTCACTTTTTTAGTTAAATTTACTGCTAGGTATTTTTGGTATGTCTCTGAAAAGAATTGGTTTTATTATTTGTTTCTCACAAATTTACTATTGGTGTATAAAAATGCTATGGATTTTTGTGTGTTGATTTTAAAGATTTTTGTGTGTTCATTATTTTTTTGTAATACTAGATTTTAGAATTGTGATTGTAATTCTTTTTATAGAGAGCTTTATTTTTTAATGTGGCTTCATGTTATTGTCTAGTGTCCTTTGAACATGATTTTCAGGACAGATTTAGTATTGATGAACTCATCCGACTTTTGGTAACTGGGAGTTCTTTTTTTAAAAATTTAAGTTTATTGGTACAATTCAGAATTAGTAGTCTCATTTAAACCAGCTTTTCTCTTCTGGGAAGTACAAAATGAACATATTCATTCCAGGGAATTTGTATCTGTACATAATATATCTTGATTCCTCTTTTTGAATTCCCATTCCCATACCTTCTTTTCAAACATCACAAAGCTCAGTTTTCATTTTATCCTTCTTTTCTCATTTCTTCTTTCCCTTCTTTCTTCCTTTTGTCCTCCCCCTTCCAATTTACCTTTTCCTTTTGAGCAGTTTCTTCCTATTTCATAGTATCTATTGTGCATTTATATTCTTATTTAGATTTTCAGTTTTTAACACCAGAGACATGTATGGGTGTGATTTGTTTCACTTATGATTATGGTCTTGAGGTTCATTCATTCACCTATAAATGTCTCAATTTTATCTTTCCTTATGGCTGAGTAATACTCTATTATATATTAAAAAAAACCTACATCTTTTCATTCATTCATTGTTTGATGGGCCTTTGAGTGGCTCCCAAAACTTAGCTATTACACACTGTATCACTCTAAACATTGATACGAATATGTCTCTATGGTGTGATGCTTTTCATTCTTCTAGGAAGATACCCAGAAAGGGAATACATGTGTCAAATGGGACCACTAATTCTGATTTTCTCAGGAATCTCTACCCTGATTTCCACAGTGTTTGTGACACCCTATGCTTGGAGAAGGGTTCCATTTTCCCACATTGTCCTGCCAGCATTTTTTATTAGTTGTTTCTTTGATAATAATCATTCTCTCTGGAGTGAGATGGAATTTTAGCATTGTTTTAATTTGCATTTCTTGAATGGCCAGTGAGGTAGAACATTTTTTCCTATATTTATTTGCCATTTGTACTTCTGAGAATTATCTGTTCATCTCAGATGTCCGTGTTTGGATTGGGTCTTTGAATTTGGAATGTCTGATTTTGTTCAGTTTTTTATATGTTCTAGATACTAGTCCTTTTTCTTAAGATCAGCTGACACAATTTTTGTCTTTTCACTCTATTGGTGATTTCTTTTGCTGTGCAAAACTTGTTGAGTAAGCTGAGACTCCCTAACTGAGAACTCTTAATCGCTCCCTCATTTTCAATTGCTCCCTTGTGTTCTAAATTTCAGAGCAGTTTTTGCTGGATCTACAATCATTGTTTTCAGCATTGTTTTTCTCTGCACTTTCAGTGCATCACTGTTGACTCTGGTTTCCAAAGTTTCTACTGAGAAATCTCCTGATGATTTCACTGAGGAGATAGAGGATATAATAACTACCTTTGTTGTTCTAAAAATCTTGTTTTGCATTGGATATGAAAGTTTGGCTATAGCATGTCTCAGTGAAGATTTTATTTAAGCTTCTGGGATGTTTGTATACATAGCCATCATTAAATTTTGGAAGTTTTCAGCCACAGTTGTTTAAAATATTTTTTCTTCCCCTTTCACCTTGTATTTTTTTTCTGGAAATCCCACAGTGTATTTGTTGGTCCACTAGCTGGTGTTCCACAGTTCCCTTAAACACTGTCACTTTTCCTCAGTATTTATTCTTTCTATTTCTCAGACTTGACCATTTCTATCATTTTGTTATGAAGTTTTCTGATTCTTTCATCTACTCACTCAAATATACTTTTAAAACTCATTAATAAATTTTTCATTTCAGTTCCAGAATTTCTATTTTAAGGTTTTCTATTTATATTCCCATTTTGTTTATATGTTGTTTTCTAATCTTTTGAAACTCTGCCTTTCTTTTTTGAATGAACTAGGATAATGGTTTTAAAGTCTTTGTCTGGTAGGTCAGATATCAGATCTTTGTTGGAGATACTGCTGACTTATATTTCCCACCAAACGGCACTACTTTCCTATCTTTGGTATGTACTGTGATTTATTTGTTGGAAACTAACTATTTAAGGGTAATAATATGGTAACTCTAAAAATCGTGTTTCCTCTTTCCCAGTACTTAAACTTTGTTTTAAAATATTTTTGCTAGTTTTTTTGGCTGTTG